GCTTGCCCAGAAATCTGGAGGCAGTATCACCTAACGGTGAGTAAAAGCACCTTTTTTATTTTCCCCAAGACCTAGCCTATTTACCCTTCTCTGAACTGCTGACCATAAAATATAGACAAGTATCTTCTGCTGGAAGATAATAAACATCTGAAGAGTTTTTGTACTGCAAAAGCAGTAATATACTTTTTCTTTTTTCCCTTGCCCACAACCCTATCCTTTATTTTCTTGTTCTTAAAAAATTTTGATTGTTTTTTATTATTGGCATCCTTTAATGATTATATTATGATATCTGTCAGTCTTCCTATATTATATTTATTAAATGGAAAAAGTATGAAAAGCAATGAAAAAAGAGTAATAATCCAGTGTCTTTAAAATGTACTATCTACAACCATACATGCCATCATATCTTCTATTATCATTTTTCTGCCTTTACTGAAATATTTACACATTTCTTTAATAAAGCCAGAAAAAAAACTAGTGTATCTTTCATATAGAACAATTCAACTGTCATATCCTTAAGCCTTTTTGACTTACTCAAAATGCATACATACTGCCTCATACCACTTAAGTTATCCAGTTCTCTGGTTTCCCTTTATTGTGATTTTAGGCTGAGTGGAAGTAGAAAACATAGTTTGCTGTAGAATCTAATTGAATCAATATTATGAAGTCTAATTGAATCAATATTATGAACTTAGTTTACTTTTATCATTCAGCTTAAATAATTTCAGTAATTCACAATGGTCCTTGTAGTCACTTATTTTTATGTATTAAAAATGTTGTGCTGAGCAAGAGACAATTATGCTTTTAATTATACAGTTATATGATGTAATATATTAATAGTTGTTGAAAGTTCTTTATGGTATTGCTTATTAAAAAGTTCTGTTTATAGAAAAACGGACAGTAAAAATAGAGAGGGCAAAATTTGGGGGAAACGTGTTCTTATTTCTTTCCTCTTAAAGAAATAATAAGCAAAACAACAAATAGGCTCAAACCATCAGTCTGTCACAGGCCCAAGAATCCAGGAATGCCATCAGGTGGTTTGTTTTCACATTTTGTTAGTACCATTTAACTTACTTAAAGATTTTCAATAGGAAGCTGTAATTCCTCCACTGTCCTTCAAATGCCAAATTAGGATCTTTTAAAATTTTAAGTGTTATACCAAAAAATATATACATGCCCTTATATGTTACACATAGATGTTACAGTTGTGAAACATTAGGTAAATACATTAGTTTGTGGTTATGTAGCAATTTTTTTAATCGAATCTAATTATATATGTATTATACTTTTCAAGATCACAGAGCCGCTCTTTGTAACTGTATTAAACCAATATCCTAATAGATTTGAAGTTGCATTTCTTCTTTGTTATTTATTTGTTTTCCAGCTGATTAGACTTGACTGAACATTACATTTCTTTTAACTTTAGAATTTTAACTTAAAGAATTCCAATCTTGAAACGTAGGTTATACTATTTTAAGCTGCCTTTTTTGATTACTTGCACCTGTGTTCTTTTATATAATTATTAAAGAGTAAAAACTGGTTTCCTTATAAAAATAGAAATATTTGAAGATTTCTTTAATATTTTAGCTTTTTAGATACATAAATTGTAAAAAGAATCATTAGGAAAATTAACTGAAAACTAAATGAATTAACATTTTAGGGAATTAGAATATATCCTATCTATAGGTATAACATTCAATTTGAAAATGTCATTTATCCTAATCTAGAATCTTGGTTGATTTAAAAAATATATATTGAAGTAACCATTGCTATTTATAACTAACAAGTTTAAATTGTTAATGAGTTTACTATGTACCTACAAATACAAAACTAATATGTGTATGAACATGTTTAAATATCAGTCCATCTAAAATAAAACAGTTAAATATTTAAGTTATCAGTTTATGAGTAATATCCAAATGTATGTAATTAAGCAGTATTCATTCTTGAAAGCAAACAAGATGCATGGTGATTTTAGTCAGCTTCAGCCCTTTTACTAGGCGATGGACTGCCATCTATTGACTCATAGTAGCCCTCACACATAAACGTGGCGTCAGTCGGCACAATGACCAAGTGATGAAGCCTACATTAGAATTGTTACTATTTGACCATTTAAGCCAGTCTACTTAGTATTCTGGAACAACTTCTTCTTAAACATTGATTAATTTCTTTTTCTAACCAAAAATTATCTATTTCTTACCCAAAACAAACTGTAGAGGCTGGAGGGAGATTAGTTAGTATACAGTTCAGAAATGTTTACATTTGGGAGCTTTTCAGTTGTTTTTAATCTACTTCCAAGCCAGTAAAACTAGGTCATTTACAGAGCAACTTGAATTTTAATGACTGCAAATTGAGGTTTATCCAGGAAGTACTTTCTTTTTTATAAAAGAAAAATCTATAGGTTAAAGAAAATATCATTTATCAAACTTATAAGAAAGGTGGTATGGTTGATTGATATAAGTGGACTTGTAAAAGGTTCCAAATGAAAAACTCCTTAAAACATGTTAGGAAGTAAAAAGAAAGTTACAGAAGAGAAGTGTTTGCTATTTTCAGCAATTTATGAGAGATAAAATGAAGTGTCTTGAACAATCAGTATGTGAACTGGATAGCTTTTTAATGAAAATTGACTAGATTTCACTACATTAATAAAAGCTAAGGCTATTGTTCTAAAGGGCACACGCTAATAAAACTTTAAAATACTACATAATTATATGGCTATAACATCTTTATATATTTTAATGACTATAAAATTATGTCATAACTTTGTATCTTTATTGATTTGGAGATCATGGAAAAATAAAAAATACATTATTTCATTTAGCAATTACATAATTTTCTCAAATAATAATTTGCATCCTTCACAAAATGCTTAGAAAGTTTTTTAGATCTTTAATGGTATTGCACTGTTCTGATATTTTAATTTCTGCTGTATTTATAGCCTAATTGTGAGGCTATAAAGACACACAACTCAGGCTATATATATCACAACTCATTCTGGATAAAATTTTCACTCTTTATCCAAAAAAGGAAAGTCCTTTCCCCTATGCCTGTCATTTCTAGTCTCACTTATAGTAAAAATCCTACCCCACTATGACTACTAACAGGGTTTTACAATCAACAGAATTTTAAGTTAGTAGAGGCTGTAATTTGACATGCTTTGGACATTTATTAATCTTGTTTTTAATCTACTTAAAACAGTAACCAGGAGTTTGCTATTTGGGAGCTATTCTATTAAAAACCCAAAAGGACAATGAATTTTTTATGTTTAATTTTGCACTTGGATTTCTTTTGTGTGCATTGTTAAAATGTGTTGTTATTATTATATATATATATATATATATATATTTTTTTTTTTTTTTTGGTAGAGACAGGGTCTCACTTTATCACCCTTGGTAGAGTGCTGTGGTGTATCACACAGCTCACAGCAACCTCCAACTCCTGGGCTTAGGGGAATCTCTTGTCTCAGCCTCCCGAGTAGCTGGGACTATAGGCATCCGCCGCAACGCCCAGCCATTTTTTTTGTTGCAGTTTGGCCAGGGCCGGGTTTGAACTCACCACCCTTCCTATATGGGGCCAGTGCCCTACCCACTGAGCCACAGGTGCCGCCAGTTAAAATGTATTATAACCTTACTACCTTTTCACTAATGATTTAAGTAAGAATCAAATGAGAATGTTTTGGAAGAATTAAGGTTTTATGCCTTTTTTTTTTTTGAGACAGAGTTTTACTATGTTGCCCTCAGTAGAATGCTATGGTATGATAGCTCACAGCAACCTCAAACTCTTGGGCTTAAGCGATTCTCTTGCCTTAGCCTCCCAAGTAGTTGGGACTATAGGCGTCCACCACAACACCAGGCTATTTTTATTTTTTCATTATAATTGTCATTGTTGTTTAGCAGGCCAGGGTTGAATTCAAACCCTCCAGCTCCGGTATATGTGGCTGACACCCTAGCCACTGAGCTATAGGCACTGAGCCTGGAAGAATTAAGCTTTAAATGTTTCTTTATATATTATATAATATTTGGAATGTCTAGAATTCAAACTTTAAAAAGCAAAGTACTTGTTGTCAGGGAAATGGGAAAGAGTAGAGACATGAATTTCTTTTTTTTTTTTTGGCTGGGGCTGGGTTTGAACCCGCCACCTCTGGCATATGGAGCTAGCACCCTGCTCATTTGAGCCACAGGCACTGCCTGAGAAATGAGTTTCTTTGTCTTCCTTTCTGGCCTAGGAAAGAAAGGCTTATGGCCAGAGTTTGCTAGTAATCAACAGAAGTCTTACCCAAACTAGTCAAATGGCAGAATGTGTCTTATGGCCCATAATTAATAATATTCCCATTTTGTTTGCCACTAAGTTTTCTCTCCTTATCTGGAAACGTCAACTTAGAAATGTAGAATCTGGCTCGGCACCTATAGCTCAACCGGCTAAGGCGCCAGCCACGTACACCTAAGGTGGCGGGTTCGAATCCCAGCCCGGACCCGCCAAACAACAATGACAGCTGCAACCAAAAAATAGCCGGGCGTTGTGGCGGGCGCCTGTGGTCCCAACTACTTGGGAGGCGGAGGCAGGAGACTCACTTAGCCCAGGAGTTGGAGGTTGCTGTGAGCTGTAATGCCACGGCACTCTACCCAGGGGGACAGCTTGAGGCTCTGTCTAAAAAAAAAAAAAAAGAAATGTAGAATCTGTGCTTTCTCAGAAATGTGAGTTTTACACTAAAAGAGAATGTCATTATCTGAGAATTCTGTACCATCCACAAGTGGATACTCCTAATTGTCAACAGATTTGAATTTAGCTTTAGAACTATGTTTTACAGTCTAGAAGGAAGGGGTAAAAAAGTGGATAGGTTTTGGTTCTTAGGGTACAGGTGTATGAAAATCTTTATCCTGGAATTGTGCTATAAATAAGATAGGTTGGATTATTTTCTAACTTCCTAATGCTAAAATGTTTTTCTTTTAAAATGACTTAAAGTAAGAAATAAGGAGTTTCAAAAAATCAGTATCTCCCAAAAATCTTTTCTTTTCGTGGAGAAAAAAAATATCTTT